TATGTGTGTGTGTCGTGTCGTGTGTGTGTGGTGTGTGTGTGTGTGTGGTGTGTGTGTGTGTGTGGGTGTGTGTGTATGTGTATGTGTATGGACGCGTGTTTGAGTGTATACATATATGTATGGGTGTATATGTTAATATATGTGCAGTGGCAAACATGAACATATTTATAAATATAATTATTGTGTGCATATAGTGAACAGTTGCATACAGACCAACAGTCATCGCAGGTGTAGATGTATGTATCTGTGCATCAGACATAGATTGAGAAAATGATGCAGATCGGTATGAATAACTTGAGTTTTTCCTCACCTATCCAACAACTTAAAATGTCTAAATAGCATCACAAACTGATGATATATTTCATCAAGCAGAATAAGATGAATCAACTAGTTGAGCAGACAAATTATACAAAACGCGTTCGCTCCAAGGAAGTGAACACACCTTCCCATTGTACGACGGCCGGTTTCCGCTTGACCTATATTCTCTACCAGCACTCACCCGTCCATTGCCACTATATCCACTCCCACCACCTTGGTAGCTCCCTCGACCACTACCACTGTACACTCCTCTTCCATGGGTGTGATACGATTCAGTTGCAGAACTCTCATGATCGCGCCCACCTCGCTGCCCATAGTTTGAAGATTGAGCGGATCTCACACCATTATTATACGCTTCTCTCGTATCGCTATACGCTCTTTTCGTATTCGCATCTCGATACCTCTTCGGGTGTGAGTGACCCTCTTGTGGCGTGTGTCGTTGCCAATCCATCTCAGACTTTTCGTTTGATCCAGCTGACCCTTGGTCGCCCGCAGTTGGTGTTGAGGACATGTTGCGCACCTTACTAACACTCGGACCGTCGAAGATATTGTGTATGTGTGGGGGGCAGAGAGGTATGCTAGGACTGTAAAGTAAAAGTGGATGTGATACTGTGTGCATAAATCTGACGTTGAAAAGAACTCTATTTGCGTGTGTGTGGTACAATGATGTACTTTTCAGCCTGGGTGTATAAACTGGGTTGGAAATATCACTATCTGAGTGTGTATACGTGCGTATTCGCACTCTTGTCGATAAAGTGTGAGCGAGTGCGGACAATATTGGTATTAGTGAAAGCGAGATGTCCTGCCGACTCAGTATTACTTGCATAACTACACCGCTGATGTGTTCCTGTATAGAACAGAAACACTGGGCAATAGATGCAAATAATTGATCTAAGTATTCGAGCTGTATAATCCTATATGCTATGGTAGCCGAGCATGAACAAATATATATATACATGCATATGTGATTTTTGTATTTAGCTGCATCGCAGGAGAGCCCCGGCCCCCAGCCACTCAGCCTACTACTAGTAGCCGCCCCCAATCCCCCATCCGCCCCCCAGCCCCCAGGAGGTATGAGGTAGTACAACAACAATTTTTCGAAATACATACGACGTTTTATTGGGATTTTTTTTGTTTTTTCTATATATGTATTTATAAAAATTATCTTATTTATTCTATTTTAAACAAATTCAAAAAATGTTTTTTAGAAAACAATACAAAACAATATGTTTTTGTTTTATACAAAACAATAAATAAAACAAACCAAACAAAAACAAAAATCTACTCTCTGCTCATTATTGAATCTGATTTATTATCATATGTAAAAATATAAAATACGCGTTTGACAATGGAACTTTCCCAAAATGTCTTTCCAAATATTTGCTGAAAATGGCATATCCAAAACAAACCGAAAAATTGTACTCTTACACAGGTTGTTTTAGGGTTTTTAGTTAGGGTTCTACATAACAAAATAATAAGTGTACACAAAGTATTTGAGGCGTTGAATTCGTTTTTGAATTTTGTGGTGATCCTTACATTTTTGACTTTGGCGTTTGCGCTGAAAAAAATCAAAATCAAAATTAACGTGCAGACTGGTCTGGACTGTCAAACTTGATAGAAAAAAATAGAAATACTTGATAAATAAGTATCAGAGTACATGTCGCTACTCATCGGTATTTCGTGATTTTGCAGTGTGGAGTACCGCAGCATCTGAGCACCCCACATTGTCCCCAGGTAACGCAGTCGCACGCAACCAAGATAGAGATTGTCTAACTCTCGGCTTTCCTCTCATAAGCTGCGCCTTATAGCGGCCCGCGACACCGGCACTTAATGTTTGTCTCTGTATATTATATACACGAGATATATGGATCAATTTTCCGTGAAATGGCAAACGATATGGTTTCTCTTGAATGTAAACCGTACAAAACCTCCGGACACCACCGTATTGAACGCATTCTATTGTAAATTGCAGTAGCTAGCCCACATGCCCGCCTTGCACGATGTAGTTCTGTACATTTTACCGTATTGCACCGTGCCTATGTTATGGTCTCTACGATTAGTAAACAATCCAGTCAACACCAAGATACGAAGCTTGCACATATCCGTCATGATGCTGCGACGGGCCAATTTTGGATGTCGGTATTGGCGAAATTTTGAGTTATCAAGTTTTGCTACTTTTTTCTGTGGGGCTATGCAAGTATATTCTGACATGTGCAGTTGGCAAGCAAGCCCAGATGATCTCGCGGCTGAATATATTCTGTCCAAGTTGGATGTAAATCCGCATCATATACTGATGGCGATACGTGGGGAAGCGATGGCTATGTTCGTCGCGGCATTAAAATACTATCCCGATGTACTGACAAATTGCAAACCCACACAACTGGAAGATCTCGCAATTGCTGTAATGAAGGAAAGCAGAGACGCGCATACTGACTCGATCTTCCGTGTTCTTATGCTTAAGATCGGGATGAACGAGATCCGGACTGGTGAGAATTTTGCTTACGAAGCTTACCTACTTGGTGCTGAGATGCACAACAAGCCTGACAATGTAATGCGAGTCATAAGGTCACTACCAGGTTTTTCGGAACTCGAGAATACATCACTGTACGAGGAGACAATGGTTTGGGGCAATGCATTCATCAACGAGAAAAGCAAGGTAGCTGACCTTGTGGTATTTTGCGGCATGTGCTTGAGAGCACACTTCAATGACCAAATGGCCGAACATGTTGTCGCGAAGCTGATTCAAGTTATGGCCCACGCAGTGTCCCTGGGCGAGCGTCATGTGCGTCACATCCGAATGGTGATCAACAAACATCGAATTGCAAGCTGGGATGACCTGCTGGTGGGAGTCGAAGCTATGGTAGCCAAAGGCAAAATTTTGGATGCTCGTACTATCGCTGCCACACGGTAGACAGAATTCGTACATGTTCGTGCAGCGAGACCTTCCCATTAGAGAGTGTGCTGTATAAAAATAGTAGCAAACCACCGCATCGGTAATTTTTCTGTGTACCTTGACTCCGCTGCAAAGAAAAGCTCACTTTTATAAACAAGAAATCGTGTACCGAAGTTGGTTGATTGCAGCGAAAGAACTGGTGCTGGTAGTAAAAAAAAATAGTCTTGCGGATCAGTTATTGGCTAAAGTGTAAAAGACAGGGTACAGCCTTTGTAGAAACAAACAAAATAGATATCAGTTTAAAACAAATTAATGCTTTATTTTTCCAGGTGTGTGCAACATGTATCGAGATCAGTCGTTTAATCCTCACTGGCTACTCAACCAGTAATGTACTATCTAATTATGTTCTTCATCATTAAGTTTACATATACTCAATATCAGAGACCAACAGCACAGGCGCCCCCATCTCCGCCACCCATGGATTCTCCATGTCCACTATGTACTCGCTATGTGATTCGGACTTTGGCTTGCAAGGCACGTACTCGAATCATTGCAGTGAGGGCACAGGGTTGTATACTACCGCCTACAAGACGGGCATGAGGGTTTCATGTACTATGTCACATGGTGCTTGGTTTTATCGGACGACGTGTGGTGCCGTCCAGCAATTTTGTACAACTTACACCACTCTCACGATAGTATTGGCGCAATATTAGTCAATGCGTGTGTTGTGACAATAGTATGTGCATGTTACATAGATTTCAATTTCAGCTACATTGTGTGTGGATTCCGATTTCTACGAAAGTATGAAATATATGATAATGCAAGTGCGTAACAGTAGCAATTGGCAAGTGGTAGGAGCATTGGAATACTCATTTAACAGTTTATTTACACTATAGAATTATAGTTTTTTTATATTCCTCAAAAAGTAAAGAAACAAAACTGCGATGGTAAAATAATAATATATATTGTAGCAGTCAAACCTCAATAATATTGTCCAACACACGTTTTCAGCCAAAATTGTACAATAATCGGAATGGTCATATCTGGTAAATGATACAGTCAAGGCCCAGTACGCACTTTTGCGTAAAACGCTCTACTCCAGGGCAAGTAATTAATTGTTCCTTTTGATATGTACTTACATGACTTATTGGTCACTAATGCTAGAACAGCAAAATTGCTACACACACATTCACTAAAATCTTCTATAGGTTTCACTAGAATCTGATATAGAACTAATTATAACCTCTATTAGGTTGATTGTTACAGCTTTTTCTTTCTGCAATGGATTTGATGGCTTGCATGTTTTGTTTGACTACTAAACCCCTCCGTGACCAACACACCACAAAAGGCACGCGTCGGCAGATCGCAACCATGACAGTTATGTGCATCTATTATAAAATTGCAGTATCCTTACAGGTTTTAGTACAGCACTGCACGATATGAGCTCGATTCCTCAAAATAACAAGCCTGTATACAATCAAAGCGATTGGATATTTATAATATTATAGTGTTATTATTAGTACTATACAAAGTGTAGTACATACGCATGTCTAGTAAAGCAATTTAAGACTGCTTCTATTGGGAGAACTGAATGGCTAGACATCTAGTCCTGTTAAGAGTAAATATATAGTGTACACACTACACACTACACAGTACACAGTACACACCTATACACACCTATAAAGGCTGAAGCCATAACAGAAAAAGAAAAGGTCTGAAATTTTCAATCACTATGAAGTATATTTGGTCAGTGTATGAAGCTGGGAAAAGTGGACAACAATCCAGGTTTGGCTGTAAACATATTTTGATGTTTCAACTTTTTGTTGAGAAAAAGTGTACATAAATACAGTAAATATAAATGTATGTTTTGGGGGGGGGGTTTTGTTTATAGCAAATTAACGACAACAAACCTGACAGATCCAGCAATTTGGTTTGAGAAAAACAATAAAATGAGTGAAGATAAAAAACAATCACATTGTCATTTAATTCCACAATATTTTTAATAGGGTTTAGATTTTTAGAACTTTTGAGGTTTGAGAAATAAATAAATAAATATAAATAGTTCTTTTTAGGAGGCTATGAAAGATATCTATAAAATTATAGATACATAGTACATACTGTATTGGTATTTTTATTTTACTTAAAAACAATGATTTTTAACATTACTTTTTTTAGTATGTATGAGACTTTAGGTCGTATACTTCGACTCTCAGAATTTCAGTTATATAAAAAAATACTAGCGAGTGTTGTGACTCCGTGTCCTCTGTCCTGTGAGTCTGTGACCTGTGTCACTGTGAGTCTGTGGTTCAGATTTGAAGATTTGAGAAATATCTACTCTCTTGGCGCCTGTGATTGATTCTCTTGACTTTTCAAGTTCGAGAGAATCGATAATAGTCCACACCACGGCCATCTTGGACCGTTCTCCCTTATATTTTACACTTTCTCTCTCTCTCTCTAGAGAGAGGAGTGTGTTCTTCCCAGAGGGTCATGTACACACTCTACATATTTCCACACTATTTTTAACCTCATAAAGTTCAGAACACATGGAATAAAGATAACAATGTACAGCAAAAAAATAAATCAAGAGAAAGCACTCACGAATCCCACAGTCGCACACCGTAGGTGGTCAGAAAATAGATAAATAGATAGAGAGATGGATGGATAGATAGATAGATAGATAGATAGATAGATGGATAGATAGATGGATAGAAATAGATAGATAAATACTTATATAGATAGATAGATAGAGAGATAGATAGATAGATGGACTGACATGCAGACAAACAGACTGACAGGCATGTATACAGACAGACAGATAGATGGATAGATTAATAGATGAACTGATAGATAAATAGGAAGATATATCGATGGGTAGTTAGATAATTATCTATATAC